TGATATCTGAGCCACCAACTTGTGGTGTCATTTTGGTCACCCCGACAAAATCTCACTCCAAGGTTTTTTGAAAAGTTGGCAGGTATGTGGTTAAATGGCTAGATAAGCATCTATACAAATGTCTTGTTAACAACTGATTGTTTGGCATCTGTATCAGCAGATACTCAAAATTGCAGTATCAGTTTCAGATTAAGCCATTCTGATTATATACTACTAAGTTGCTGGAGTTTTGACCTCCTTAGACTTTTTCCCTTCTCCATGCACCTTGTGCCAGAAACCCTGACTCTGCTTCTACAGACATAAATTGATTTGCATACCTTCATAAGTGAGTAAGATGTAAACCATAAACTGTAGGATAACATAATATCAGAAGTAGGGTTGAGCCAGTACTTGGCTGAAACGAGTATCCAGTACAGATAATGTACTTTTTAAGAGTGCTGCTGCTGTAAGCTGCCATTAGCGTGCCATGGAACCAGACTCAGCAGCCTCCGAGACAGATGGAGGCCAGTTTGACAACAGCAGTACCACAGGGATTTATGTGGTTTTCTGATGGACTTGTTGTTAAAAGTAGCTAACTGCCGCTAACAGTAGCTTGTGTAGCTAATGTTGGCTGACTCAGCCCTGGGGTGCCAGGAGCCAATTCTGGCAAAAACACCTACTCAGTACTGTATTCCCTTTTGTCAAACTGGCCTCTGTCGGCATTGGATGTTGAATTCGGTCCCGGTCTGGACATTCTATTTAGAATGAATCAGAAGTATGCTTGGAAAAACAGCAGCGACAGTTAAATCTAGCATAATGTTAAGTGGGTTTTCTGATCTGGCAACCTTACTATGCAGCCAGGATTTTCTAGATACTGCATGTAGTCACTGCTTCCAGTGGTTGACCATCAAAATGGGAGAAACTACCATTACTACCACCTCTCCCCTTCCTTTTCTCCCTCTGGCCTTGTGGTTGGCTTCATAGGATAAGGTCCAGGCAGGTTAAGAGGCAACGGTTGCTAGAGGGCTTTGTCTCCTGTAAATCTGGACTTTGTAACCTTACTGGTCTATTCTCTTATTTGATTTTGAAACTACTTGGATATACAAAATTACAAAAAATAAAAATATAGTACAAACTAACCCAAAACCACAATGTTTTAGTTTCATATTTCTCTGTCACGTGTTGAATAAACAAGTTACAACATGTGTATAGAGTAGGATTTAACGTTTTAAAATCAATAACTTTTAACATCTTTTGTCATGATGCCTTACTGTGGCTGTGCCGGTGACCGTCTGACTGCCGGAGTCCGACGCGCTCTGCTCACTGTGGCTCTGTGAGGACTGGTACATGTTGAGTGGATGCTCGCTGACGGAGGCCTGGATCCCGGTGTAGTCCTGCGGTGCTGCTGGGTGCTGGTGAGGATGTGGGTGGGAGTGTGGATGTGGATGGGGGTGTGAAGCTGTGAACTCGGTTGGAATGCCGTTCTGGGGAGGGGGGGCAAACTGGGCTGATGGGTAAGCCTGGGCCATGGATGGATCCGGGGGTGCCGGTGTGTCCTGGTTACCCTGTATTGACAGAGAGTCACTTTTTAATTTAGAAAACAATTTCAACATTCCATCATTAGATTAGATTAGTGGATTGTGTTCAATTCCTGGTTCCTTGGTTCACACATTCATGCTTCCCTCCTCTGACTCTGACCCTGAGGTCAAAATATACATTTTTGTACTACTTTGGTTTGTAAATAAGTACCTGCAAAACTAATAACAGTTGTTCTTTAGCATGTTAACATGCTAAACTAAAATGGTGAACATCAGCATATTAAAAGGTAATATGAATAAGATTTAAAACATGAATATAGCTGCAAACCACTGAGATATAGTGGAGACATGGTGTCCTGAACACAGATGACATCTCTCTGCCTGTGTTGCTATCCTAACCTCTCTGTGGTTTGTTTACATAACCGGTCTAGCCGCGCATGCATGTTTTAGCATGCAAATCCTTGAAAGCAACTGAAACTGCAGAATGAAGGGTTTATTTTTGATCGAAGAAGAGTGGGTGATGGATGGAATAGTTCAAATGTTACAATGATATGCTGTTTTGTTCTGTTGGCGAGCTATTGGGGATATTATGGATGTTTCTGGTTAAATAAAAGGTCACATTTATCTATGTGGAGATCCTTTATATTATGTTGTCAGACACTTAGAATAACAATCTGAGCCTGTCAGTGGCAAAAACTACTTTTTGTTGACATACTTTAGATTAGATAATGTTACATGGCAGCCTTTGTAGCCTGTTTTGTGTCTATTTTCTCATCTAACTCAGTGAATGAGGGTTTATTTTAAACCAAACCAGAGTGGGTGATTGTTGGAAAGACTGCGGAAAGACTAACAATGACAGTTTTTGTGAGTTTTATTTTGTTTCTGTCCAGTTTGCAGTCAGTTTATCTGATGCTCTAATGCGACATCTAGTGGCAAGTGAATTTCATATATAAACTTTAACATTGGAGTAGTTGCCTATGTGTGACCTCCCCGAGCTGTTAGTATGGCTTGTTTCTTAATGTGTTTTCCCTCATAAGCTGCAGTCTTATGGAAATATGTATGTTGGTTGGTCTGTCCATCCATCAAAATATCTGTCCTACTGGCTAGATTGCAATGGAATTTGATAGGAATATTGTTGGCCTCCAGAGGCTAGGAGGATAGTCTTTTAGGCCAAAATGTCTATGCTATCCATACTTTGCTTGATGACAACTTTATCTTGAACTGTATCTTGAAAACAAATAGCTGGATTTCTTCAAATATTAAGAGTCCAGAGAGCATGAACCATTTTGTTTTTTATGTCCCATGAGCAAATGAAACAATATAATATAATAATGTCACTTTTTGAGCTTATTGACACCTGAAGGAGGAATTGTTTTCCAATTTGGACACTTCCTGAGCTTTCCTTTGCCTCAACCTGCAGACAACTTTTAAATTGTATGTATATTCCTGCAGTCCTGCAAGACTTAAAGAACGGAAATCATCTGATTGTTGACATTTTCACTGAATCAAACTATACATCAACCACCTTGTAAATTTACAAAAAAAGCTTTTAAAAGGTTGGTTCATCATAACTCTCACTAGTCTTATTGTATTCAGTGTTACTTATCAGTGCACATTTACAGTGCAGATGTGATTAGAGTTTTATAAATGTTCTATTCTTCCATCAAAGTCCCCTAGTTCTGAGTGTAATGGGACTCTAAGTTGAATAAACTTGCTGCTAGCACACACACACACAGACTGTAGTCTAGTCCACGTAGAGGAAATATACTTGAAGAGCTGTTTTGTGTTATAAGAACCAATATATCCATCATCGAGAGAGCAGGGTTATCCACTTGATTATAGAGGGAACTCTACATCACAGACACCCCGACCAAATGACACACACACATTAATAAACTCTCATATAGCCAAAATACTTAAGTCAAGCTGCTAATATACAATAAATACTTTTTATGTACCCTGTGCAGGAAAAACTGCATTTAATTTAATAGTGAGTATTTTAGTCTTCAAAATATGACGCTGTAGGTACCCCTCTTGTGTCATTTCTGCAACTTCCGGTAACGAGAAAAACATCCGGTTACACTTTCAAAATAAAGTTTGCATGGTTAACATTGTGAAACGGTCATACTGTAGTTAGGGTAGGTTTAGGCACAAGAAGTACTTGACTAGGTTTGGGAAAACTCACATCCACTGATCCTCTGGGCCAACCGCATAACCCTCTGTAGCGGCTTGCGGTTGAGGGCAGTACAGTTCTCATACCAGGCAGTAATAAAAACCAGTAAGGATGCTCTAGGTTGTGCCTCTGCAGAAGGCCTACAGGATCTTGGGTCCCATGCCAAACATAAGTTAATTTAGGTATGTAAAAAAATAGCTTACTTTTGGTTACACACAGGACACCAACAGTGGTCTTCCTGAGTAATCCAATCCCCCCCACCACCTCCACAAGCAAGACTCGTCTTTATAAAACATCACCTGACTCTGACTGTGGGAGTGTTAAAAACAACACTAGAAGACCTACCTACAGCGCCACATTTTGGGCCACTGACCAAGCAACTGACTTGTTGTGTCAGGGCTTATAGATGTAGTCCGAAGTAAGTTGCTCTTTTAAAATACAAATTCTGCATACTAAAGAAAGGAATTTACCAAACACTTGCCAAAATGTGTCCTGTATTCCAGTAATCCCCATCAAAAATGGTGATTTCTAATGACCAAACACAGTCAGCAATGACTGTCACCGTCACAGTGAAAACTACGAGTGGTAGAAACGTGGTTTCAGCTGGCTGTAACAGCAATTCACAAAAAATAGTGGAAACACTGAAGGGGAGAGAGTGAACATACCCCCAAACAGTGTGCAGTGTGTATGTGAGAGAGGTTGCTCCTGTGGGACATTTATATCTCAGCCATTACAGAGAGAGAGAGAGAGAGGGAGGTGCAGCCATATGTAGGAAAAAGAAAAAGAGGGATGCAGACAGTGAGTCTTGGCTAAATGCTCTGCTGTGTAATGAGAACCACATTTAGAAGGCTGAAATATGCTTTACGTGGCAGAGCACTGCACACACACACCCACACACACACACACGTACACACACACAGGCGACTGAAGGAATACAATTAAAATTCTGAGTAAGTGCACAGGGAGAGAGAGACAGGCGGAATTTTTCTCCTTCAGAATAAAAACATCTCTCAGTATTCCTCCCTGTGTGTTACTCTACTCTAGAATGATCTCTTAAAGACAATTGTAGATTATGCTCAAATTTGTGTCTTGTGTTTAGAATTTTTAATGCCCCAGTCGCTCCTCCAATGACTGTCTGTCTTACTTCTGCGAACTCCATAAAATCTTATATTGACTTGACTTCCGTAACAGATTGCGCTGTAGCTGCATTTGTTCAGTGTTCTCTGTGAAAGCCACAACACAGACAACGCTGCAAGCGTGGCAGCACAGGTTCAGCGTAACTTGGTTTTATAAGCATAAAAGTCTGTATTCGGAACCACAAACTACATACTATCAGAACAGAGTATGTTAGACCAGGCTCAGCCAGTTTCTGGTTTTGGAAAGTGGAAGAAAATAATAGCAATGCTAATGGAAAACCATTGCTATTGTGTATCATCCCATCATGCTCTGAAAAGAGAAGTTATAATTGTGGATTTTCATTATTTTTCCAAAGATGAACATTTACCTGACAGATAAATAACGTCTATCTCAGTTTTCTTAAAACTGCAAATATTCGGGGCACCCGGATAGCTCACCTAGTAGAGCTGGCGCCCCATGTACCAAGGCTGAGTCCTTGCTTCAGCAGCCATAGGTTCAACAGCTGTCACTATTGATGTTGTTTGCTCTCAATCAGCATGACATCTAGATATTTTTCTTTTATTTGCATACTACATACTACATTTTGGCCAGTAGGTGGTGTCCAATGCAGCTTAAGACTCACTCATGGTCTGCAAATCTCAAGGGCTAGTGGGAAATGGTAATGATACAGGCCACTACAAACATATAACAATGTTTTTCAAAAAAACTACAATCCTCAGTCAGGTGACATACTTTTGATTAAGACTCTCTCTCAAGCTCTATTTTTAGTTCCAAATGTCAGATGTTTCACTTTGTTTCTTTGTTAGCTTGAGCTAAAACTTTTTATAGGTAGTTTTTTTTAGAGGTATTTTGTTTCCAATCTTTTACCATGGAATCTTCCTCAGGTCCAATATGAACAGGAAATCGTTTGGGGGAAAGATTCCATGATCAATAACGTAGTAGTAACGTAGTAAAGATCCCCTCCAAACATGTATTAAGACATATATACAGAAAGTCTGCATGGAACAATAATGTGTGTCTGATGTTTTTTCCACAAGAAAAGTCTAATTTCCACATACAATTCTTAAAAAACTCATCTTCTCTTTCCCCCTCATTAAAATTTCCAGAATCTCTGAAAATACAAATGTTGATTTCTAAAGTTTTTCTGC